ACGTGCCTCTTCTCTTGCATCTGCCTCACTCCCGTGTCCAGGAAGCCAAGTGTTTGTTGCTGGAGAAACATCACAAGCCAAGTAGCCTAGTGCCCCAACATATCAGTGACTCTTAAATATCCATGTGGCCCTCACTCCTTTTATTTCTCCTTGGTCAGCTTTCCTGCCCGTCACATTCAACGACTCTGATTATTCCAGGCCTTCACTTCTCCCCCCACTCAGAAGACCATACCCTCAACCCTCTACCCAACTCCAACAGCAGATAAACTTGCCTCTACTTCATTGAGAAACGAGAACCACTAAGTGTGAACTGCCCCAGCTTCTCCCACCCTTTCCCTACAAACTTACACCCCTCCCACCTCAATATGCTACCCCAAGACCTAGAGAAAGGGTACTCTGCACTGTCCCAGGCGGCTACCTCACTGTGCTGTCAGTGTCTTCCTGCTCCCTCCCCGCTCCCCTAAGGCCAAGTTCCATTATTATTTGTCTTTTTCTCTTCTAGGCAGGCAACCTCCCCCTCTCCTGGCTCTTTCCCACACTGCTCCTGTCCTCTCCGTGTCCCTCCCCAGACTTCCTATCTGGACCTCCGTAAAGACTCATCTGCACTGGAAACTTTCACTTTCCCTCTCTCACTTTCTCACCTCTCACCCCGAAACTCCCTGTAGCACCTGCTCCCAATACTCTAATAGAACTTTCAGTGGATCTAATTTAATTAAAGACACAGATCCTGAATTTTTAAGCAGAACTGTATTTGACCCCTGCCTCCTCAACTTAGAAGCTGGGAGGCCTTGAGCACTCTGCTTACCTCCCCCGTGCATCAGTTTCTTCATCTCCAAAATGAGGATAACAGTAGTAACCAACTTCATGGGATTCTTGAAATATTAAATGAGGTAGCAAAACACTGAACAGTGTCTGCACATGCCATGTGCTAAACAAATATTGGCCACAAATATTAATACCACTCCCACTATTAGTTGTAATAATTTTAGTGAGCACTATTGTTATTGTCAGATACTATGCTAGGTGTTGCTAAAAATCCTCAACTAAAAAAAATCCTACTGAACTCATGCAGCCAAGAAAAACTACTGTGCAATCTTCTTATACAATGTGTCTTATCACTTGGCCTAGATGAACCTTCCTCTCCTCTCCATACTGATCCTGTGTGTGTGACTCTAGTCAGTTCAGCTCGGTACACACACACACACACACACACACACACACACACACTGACTAGGTACATTTATATGTATCATGTGAACCAATATGAAAACATAAAATCAGTTGAGTGCAGGAACCTTAACCTAAGCTGCCTTTGCAACAGCAAGAGCATCTACACCAATGTTGTGCATGCAGCTGGAAGCCATTAATTACTGATGGACGGTCTGTCCTTCCCATGATCAGTCACAGCAAGAACAGAAAGAATATTTTTAGCATCATGCTTGAATTCTACCTGGCAACTGGGAAACTGCAATCATTTGAATCTACGCAGGCAATGAAAGGAAAGCTTTACTGTTGGTTCACCAGAAATTATACCTAGTGGTCATTTACATTCTGTGAGTAATCACTAGGAAGGTTTGCATGGAGCACTCATTCCCTTCCTTCATCTCCTTGCTATCCTCAGGTTCTTTTTGTCACACACTGCGAGTGCAATATCTATTTTAATTAGGAAGAGGCAATAATAGGCAAAGGTGATTGCAATAGGTGTGTTCTGTATGGAACCAAACTGCACAGCAAGATCTCATCCCGGTGATAAAAACAGCTTCACTAAGGCATGCAATTTTGTCTAACAATTTGTTTCTTGGAACAAGCTCCTGATGCCCAAGCCCCCTGCCAGCACAGCTAGGTAAGCCTTGCTTTGGTGGAAGCATTAGCATGGGGTTCTCTTGGACCTGTGGCTCTTCACCACCGGGGTCTCATGATGGGATCCTGCACACTGACCTAATTCCTCTAGGATTCAACAGTGATTTACTTTATGGACAAAGAAAATGAGTCCCAGTTCTCTCTACCTTTAACACTTTTCCTCTGCTTACCTATCAATATGTTAAAACAAATTTGGATTCTAAAAGTCTGTTTAAAATCAGTTAACTAGGGGATGAAGAATTCACACGTGGAAGGCAGGACCAGGGTAGGGATGATTATGACGATGACGACGGTGAAACAGCTATTTACTAAAGTTTGTTTGTACTAGGCCCTATGCCAAATGCTTAACAGACTATTTACTTTAGTCTCATAACTGTGAGAGGCTGGCATTACTATCCCATTTTCCGTTTGAGAAAACTTGCCTAAGACCATACAACTACCAAGATTCAAGCCTGGGATTTCAAGCCCGATCTGTCAAAAGCCAAAACCCATTAATACTAAAAACCATGTGTCCTTTTTCTGTGACCTGTTTTTAACCACAGTTTGTACAAAACTAGGTTTAAGACTGATTTTATCATCACTGGCCTGCCACAGTAAATCTATGTATTTCCATACTAGAAAATTAAGTTCCCCACTTAAAAAATGGGGAAGAACATGATTGGCCAAATAAATATAAAGAAAACAAATATTAAATTTCAGGTGTTTAAAACTAAAGGGAATTCAATTCAGTTTAAGAAACAGTAACTAATTAATATAATGTACAGGGAATTGTAAGAATTCAAAGATTAAGATAAAATTGCCCCTGCCCCCCACCCCCAGGAAACTAATGATATAGTGGGAGGAACACAGTGTAATATTTCAGGTCTTACTTCAAATGTCACTTCCTACGAGACATCGTCCCTTACGGTCCTATCTAATTTGTCCCCCCGTTCCTGATTACTTTCTATCATAGGGGTCAGCAAACTTTTTCTGTGAAGGGCTGATAGGAAATAATACAGGCTTTGTGAGCATATGGCCTCTGTAAACACTAGCCACCTCTGCTCTTACAGCTCCAAAGCAGCTATAGATTGTAAGTAAGTGAATGAGCATGGCCATGTCCTAATAAAACTTTATTTACAAAACAGGCAGTGGGCCAGATGTAGTTCAGAGGCTTTAGTTTGTTGACCCATACTCCTACACATCACCCTTTTTTTCCTTCATAGCACTTAACAAAATCTTAAGTTATTAGCTTATTGTTTTATTTACTATTTTCTTCACAACAGTGGTAGCTCCAAGACACTGGGGTCCTTGCTGTTTGTTCAGAGCTTGTTGTCCAGGGCCTAGCAAGGAGTTCCTGATGCATAGACAGCTCACTTTAAATATCTGTTGGCTGACTGACTGAATGAATACTGTTTCACAAAAGGAGAAACATGGACTTCCAACAAACACATGAACTATATATGCCTTATTAATAATAAAAATTTAAAAAGTGAAAATGTAACTTCTCACTTGTCAGAACTGCAATGGTTAGGAGGAGAGAAGGCTGAAGAGGAGAGGGAGAAGGGGAAGTGAGAGAGGGAGGGGAGCTAGGAGAGGATCACATGCAGATGCACATGTGGGCAAGATGGCCCTCTCTCCTACCACTGATGGCCAAGAAAACTGGTGCAACATTTACAGAGAGCCATTTGCAATTCTACTCCAAGACGTATATGCCAATTCAAAAATAGGCAGGGGATTCAACAGACATTTCTCCAAAGAAGATGCACAAATGGCAAATAAGCACATGAAAAGATGTTCAACTGAATTAGTCATTAGGAAAGTGCAAATCAAAACCACAACGAGATACCACTTTACACTCATTACGATGGCGATCATAAAAAAGTGGAAAATATCAGGTGCTGGTAAGGATGTGGAGAAACTAGAACCCTTGCGTATTTCTTCTGAAGAAAATAGTTTAGGGCCTCTGCAAAAAGTTAAACATAGAATTACCGTACAATCCACCAATTTCACTTAGGTATATACCCAAAAGGTTTGAAAGCAGGGACTCAGTTACCTGTACCTCCATGTTTATAGCAGCATTATTTATAACAGCCAAAAGGTGGAAACAACTGAAATGTCCAGCCACAGAAGAATGAATAAAAAGAAGTGGTATGTCCATACAATGGAATATTATTCAGCCTTAAAAAGGAACAAAGTGCTGGTACATGCTACAACATGGACGAACTTTGAAAACATTTTGCTGAATGCAACAAGCCAGCCACGAAAGGACCAATATTGTATGGTTCCATTTATATAAGGTACCCTGAATAGGCAAACAGTAGAATATTAGTACGAAGTAGAATAGAAGTAATCAGGAGTTGGGGGAGGTGGGGATGGGAGTTACTATTTAATGGGTACAAAGTATCTATTTGGGAGGGTGAAAAATTTCTGGAGATGGATGGTGGTGATGGTTGCACAACACTGTAAATATACTTAATGCCACTGAAGTGTACACTTAAAAATGGTTAAAATTATAAACTTCACATTATGTATATTTTAACACAATAAAAATACTACATGCACTTTTTACTCCAAAATCTTATTCCAAAGAATTAACTATGAGAAGATAATGCAGAAGGCTGAAATATGTTTATACTGGAATCCATCACCCTCAAGACCCATGAATAAAATGTTGCTATGTAAATAAAGCCTGGCACAACAAACACATAAAAGAGACTACTATGAGGCATCGAACAACAAAGCATGCCTTTCACATAAAAGTGTGTCCATAACATTACTACTGAATTTAAAAAAAAAAAGCAAGTTACAGATGCATGTACAGTATGATCCCATTGAAACAAAAATTCCAATTTATTTATACATGGAAAACATCCAGTATATTCTCCAAAATGTCTACAGTGGTCATTTTCTGAGTGTCAGGTTTGAAGGGGCTTTCACATTATTCTCTTAACTTTCTCTACTAGTTGATTTTTAAGCAAAGGATATTTTTAAACAAAATAACATGCTCTTATATAAATTCATGTTTACCACTCTTTCACATTAATTAAGACGGGTTAGACCCTTGGTACTTTCATAATACTGTGGATGTTTTCTGTATTTCCATTTCCACGGCAACAGTAATACTTACGAGTGAGTCAAGTACAGTTTTAAGAGACACATACCTCACGCAGTGGTGACGTCTCTTTATCGGTCACAAACAGGCTTATTATTTCAGAGCAGCACTTAATAATCATGCTCTAGAAATAAGAAAACAATATAGTAAGGTTGATCTTATTGGTAAATACTAGATATTTTAATGATAAACTATTTATTTCATTTGTGTTATTTTTGCATTACCACCTAACTTTAATTTTCAGGTTGAGACTTAGAGGGACCCAGAGGTCACAATCCTTTAAGTAATTGGAAACTTAAAAATTTATTTGAAAACTACAGGATGGCCACAAAAAGATAACATTTAATTAAAAATAACATATTTTTAGGGTTCTTTCCCTGCACATTCACTGTTAAAATTCATGTTACCAAAGAAAAATAAGTAAAGTAATTCATGCCAAATAAGATTTTTGAAAAATCACTTTCCTTCTCAGAAGAGAGTCCTGGAAGAGCGTCCAGCAGTGGGTTTAAGCAGAGAAGACTGGCTGGGAGTTGGGAAAAAAATGGAGAGTAAATAACGAGGAAGGGAGAGCCAATACCACATGTTGTCTACTGTGGAGGCACTGCCACAGGCCCTACTGCACGGACAGAGCGGCGTGGATGTGACGCAGCCGAGCCAGGAGGGATCTCCCCGCAGGCAGGGCTGAGCCAGCCAGATTCCCTACCGCTGTGACCTCATGTAAGGCAGGACAACAGGAGAGCGCGGCCGTCAGCACTGGCCGAGCGCGGAGAGGTCCTGCGTGGGGCTGGAGAAGGCAGCGTCGGGCCAGGTGTAAGATGGGGGAGAGAAGAACAGAGACGCGTGGAACTGAGCAGGCCCGTGGCTCCTGACGGTCCAGTCTGTTTCCTGTGAGGTCCGCTGTGTACTGTTTCCAGCCCTTGGCTATGTGTGAGCTTCCTTACTGGATCCTGCCAGATCCTGCCTCCCCATCAAACCGACTTCGCTTGAGCTAGTGTAAGCAGAGTTTCTCTACTGACAATGAAGAGTCATAAACTATAACATTACCAGAGAAACACTATGCCTGCTGCAGTGTTGCCAGTACCCATCCCTAAAGCAAGCAACAATTTGCTTTTATGATAGCATTAATATATACATGTAGTAGCACTGAGAAATATCAAAATGACAAAAGTACATTAATTCTCACATTATAACTGCCCACTGCTGGTTAAAACCTGAAAATAAAAAAGAAACTGAACTCACAGCCCCAAACCGTGTTATGTCCAAGTTTTAATAAATGTATAAACATAGAAAAGATCAAATTTTAGAGTTCTAAAGCTATAGCTAATTTAATTCAATTTTAACAAAAATATATTTAAGGCATTATATTAGGTGCTGTGGAACACAAAGATGAAGAAATGGGCCCTATTCTCCCAAAGTTTACAGTAACTGAGAAAAAGAGATGCATACACAACTAAATAAAATGCCAAGGAGACTGTGGTCAGAACATGTGACCTCACGACATGCTGCAGGAGCCGAGAGGTGGGAGAGAGGACGCGTAAGCGTGATGAACAGGGAAGATTCCTGGAGAAGGGTCATGTGAACCGAGAGTTGACGGAGTAGCAAGATTTCAGCTGACAGAGAGTGGGGACAAGGGCCTCCTGGGCGGAGCACAGCCAGGTAACCAAGACAACAGTGGGCACTCGAGGCACATAAGGGATCCCGTATGGCTGTTACCGTGGCTGGTTGAGGAAGCGCGGCAGTGAAAGTGGTGAGAAAAGAGGCTGGAGGGGCAGGCTTATGCCAGGACAGGCAAAACCAAGGAGTCTGGATTTTGTTATGTAGGAAATTGAGAGGCACTGGACTGAGGGAATAATCATCAGGTTGCTTTGAAAAAGAGAATTCTGGCCACAGTTTAAAGGTGAGCTGGACTGTTCTAACCAAGAAGTGTGACTTAAGCGTGAACGTACAGGTGAACTTACATGTTCTCATACACACACGAAGAATGGAGAACTGGATTGGAAGGGACAAGAGAAAGAGAAATGAGCTAGGAGGTGACCCAAATGGCTTGGGCAGGAAGTGATCGTGGCTAAACGTGGGCCAGCTTCACTAGGGTAAAAAGGGCGGAGGGCAGGCAGGACCCCGGCACGGGTCTGGGTGTACTCGTTTCCTCTGACGACCCTTCCCGGCTTCTGGCTCACTTCCCTAGACGGGAGAATACACATCCACCCCTATACTCCTCTCATTACCTATCTTCCTGTATTTCTAATGGAGTTCTTAGGACTGGTTAAGTGTATTTTCTTTCTATATAAAAGGTTTTAATAACAACCACGACGGGTTCCTGTCATGATTTTACCAAGCAGAGTGGCACTGTATCAGTAATCATTTCCCATAGCATGGGCAGCGATGTCACGTGGCAAACGAACTGTCACTGCTCAATATCAAACAGAAGTTTCACCTCAACAGCGTTCTGTGCCTTTGGCATTACCCGAGGTAAACCACGTACACAGGCCAGAAGGTGGCCGATCGGATGCTGGGCCCTGAGAGACCCTGACACCGCAAAAAGGGAGGCTGGGCAGGCACTGCTCCCACCTGAGAGCTGCTGGACCTGCGCTGTCTAGGGGGGCCTGGGGGGACACAGGCCGACCCTCGCTCGCTCTCTGCCACTTCTTGAACAAGGAGCATTTTGATTCTACGAGGGATGGACTTCTGAGTCACTTCAAAAACAATAAAGCTGATTCTTCGACAGCTGAAGTCCCCACCCTCTCACCTCCATGGAAGAACAAACTTCCCAAACTGTCTTCTGTCCTCGGAACTCCTACTTCGTCCCTCCTCCACACGCCACCAGGGGCTTAGCAAACGCCATGTCCACTGTGAGGTGGCCTTGCAGGGGCTGCCCCACCTTCTCTGGCCCCCACACACCCTGTCCGGCTTTCCCACGACCCTGTCCTGCGGAATGAAGCTCATTCACCACTTACTTGCTCACCCTCTACCGAACGCACCCTAGGGGCCATGGAGTGGGAACAGGAGGTGACAGGACACAGCAAGTGAGCCCTAGGAAGCCCTTGGTGGGTGGGAGGAGCAGGAGAGACAGGCTTGGCCTGCGGGAGATCAGAGAGGAGGAAGCGCGCAATTCCCCCACCTCTTCAGTCCCCTCTCCCAGCACACTCACCCCATGCTCCCTCATGGTCCCCTGAAGACGGCCCTCAGTCCTGGGGCTTCATGCCTCCCTCCTGCTGCACCCTCAGGCAGCAGTGAAAGTGCTCCTCCCATCTCCAACGACAAGTGTCACTGGCAAGTACTGAAGAGGCACTATGCTTCACTTACCGGACAAGATGTTGGAGGGAAAATGATAATGAGACCCCTGAGCAAAGGAATGCAAATTCAAGAGAGAGGAAGAGACACATAGACAGGTGAGTGCTGAAACATACGGTAAGGGCGCAAGGTATCTTGGGGTCCAAGGGACAGTGGCCTTTAAGGTTATAGGAGCTATAAAATGCTGCCTGAGCTATTTAAGCAAACACAAGTCTAGCTCAACTTTCCCTCTCCTCTCTCCACACACACACACACACACACACACACACACACACATACACACACAAAAGCACCTCCGTATGGATGAGATCTGAAAAATAATAAATTAGAACTGTTGCCATCGCCAGGCCCCCATGGAGAGGGAATGATTCCACAGCCTTACCCTTGTATACGGTGCAGCATCCAGATACTGGGGAAACAGGAAAGCTGGAAGTCAGAGAGACTAAGTAAGCTGAACTCTATAATAAAGAGCTGAGCCAGAGCAGGAAGCGGAGAGAAAATAAAACACTCCACGCAGACTGAGCTGGAGGGAAGGTTTTAGGAGTTTGAGCCAAATGAGACAGATGTGGCAGACGGGCAATGGATGTCAGAGAGAGAGATTAAGAGCAAGACAGGTGGGGGAAATAGGACTCTAAAGAAGTTCTGCTGTGTATTACGAAAAGATTCTCTCTCGGGTGCTCTTACAAGAGAATCTATAGAGATTTCGATCGTTTTGAACATCAGATTGGTGTTTCTTTAAACACCACACTTTGCTTGCTCAAAGAGGGCCACCAGGCAGCTGGCTCATTATGGATGACATCTGGGCACCTGGCCACACTCACACAACAGTTAAAGCTCCTCCATGACAGGGACCTGATTGTGCTGATTTCTGTATGTCCGTATCTCCTCAAGCCTGGAAAATTTTTTCAAATAATTGTTGCTCAAAGATAATTATTTGTTAATTGATGCCAATGTCCAATTCTATCTTGTTCTATATTTTCATACTACTTTGATATTTGGGGTAATGTGACGAAACATATCCATTTTAATTGCCTTGTACAATCCAGGCATTCAGCACATGTTTGCTGAACCTTGGATGACTCAATAAACATACTTTAAGCTTTTCATGTCAGTATGTGGTCATTCCAAAAAGGTGTTTTTTGTCTTAAAATCAGGATGGTTTGCATCTTTCACATGCTTTAAAGTACCTGATGTACTCTGATACCCCTAAAGCTGTGAGGGACAGATTAAAATCACTCAGTCATTCTGAGCTGGTGCTGTTCAGTTTTGAAGGACATAGGTTTTCAAGTCAGAGCTGATTGGAACACCTGTTCTGTAGCCCTCCCAACACATCTTAAATTACTACCTGTTTTCTGATGTTCTTGGCTTCTTCCAGATCATAGGGGTTTGGAGAGAAAAGCAAAAAAGGGAAGGGAATGAGAAAGAACAAGATTTACTATTCCCCAGATCAACCAAAAGCACATTTTCTGGACCCTTATATTTAATAACCCACCAAAAATCTATATTGTGATGGATATAAATATATTAGATTACAGAGGCTATGAAATCCTGTCCCATCTCCACCAGAACTGATCTCTTCAAGTGTCCTAGTTAACTTCTAATTAGCTCCCAGCGAAGGTTGTCATGACAACGAACTGGCAGGTTTAGTCAATGGGATTTATCTGGTATTACCTGGAATCTAGCTGCTTTTTTTTTCTTTCTTTCTTAAGTGCTGGTTAGTACACTGGGAAACAAAAGAAAACTCTGTATGCTCCTTCCATTTCTCAACTTTCGAATGTTAGGAACTGATTAGTTTGCCAAGTCGCCTCAACAAATACTAGTCTGTCTCTCCCATTTGATGACATTCTCTCTTATAAAGAACTAACAGACCCAAAACGCACCTAAAAACGCCCCGCTTAGAGCCAGAGGAGCTCTTTCTAAGTTGGAGAATAGAACCACGTCAGGACTGAAAGGACACTGTTCCCCTCAAGGACTGACAGCTCGCACCACCAGTCGAGCCGGACATGGCAGCAAGCCCCAAGCCTTGGTTAAGGCAAGACGGGGCCTCTAGAGTCCTCCCTCTGCCTACACTCAAATGCTTCCCCCCCCCCCC